GCCCTGGCCTCTCTCCTTTTCTCTTCAATTTTTTTTTTTTTTAAATTTTAGAGAGAGGGAGAGGGAGAGAGAGAAACCTCTATGAGAGAGAACCATGGATAGGCTGCCTCCTGACCGCCCCACACTGGGGATCGAGCCTGACACCCGGGCCTGTGCCCTGACTGGGAATCGAACCGTGACCTCCTGGTTCACAGGCTGACGCTCAGCCACTGAGCCGCACCGTTTTGAACGTATCTGCCTTACGGCAAAGCTGTAAGTGTAGCTGTAAATGCGGCCGGATCCATCCGAGCGGCTCCCTGGAGGAAGTGGCATTGAGTGGGCGCTCAGGACGGGGAGGGTCTGGGTGACGGAGCATGTGCAGACCCCTGCCTCCATCCCTGCCCTCTCGGGAGGCCCCACCCTAGGGGCACGCAGCCTGGGGGGGGGCTCAGGCCGCCCTTCCTTCCAGAGTCCTTCACGCCCGACCACAAGCCCCTGATGGGGGAGGCGCCCGAGCTCCGAGGCTTCTTCCTGGGCTGCGGCTTCAACAGCGCAGGTGGGTCCAGGCAGCGTCCCCCCCCCCACCCCCGCACCGCGGTCTCTCCTTCAGCTCCCGGGGCTCCCCCAGGCGGGGTGAGGGGCTGGCCAGGAGCCCTGTGCCCACAGGGGTGGGGGACAGAGGCCTGCAGGGACGGGGTGAGGTCCCGTTGGGAGGCCTGCAGCGCCCCAGGTGTGAGATCCCGGGCATGGGCAGTGCTACTGCCTGGGGGATGGGAGGGTCCGGATGGGGCGAGCAGCTCTGACATGGGCTGCAGATTGTGGCTCCCCTCCCGGCAGGAATGATGCTGGGCGGCGGCTGCGGGCAGGAGCTGGCCCACTGGATCATCCATGGGCGCCCGGAGAAGGACATGTACGGCTACGACATCAGGCGAGTGCACCCGACACCGGCGGGCAGGGGTGGCTCCTCCCTCGCCGCCCTGGGACCTGGGTAGATAGCCAGGGCTAGAGAGAAAGGAGCCCTCCCTGCAACCTGGGGGGCTTCCTGGAAGAGGAGGCAGTGAGGGAGGACAGGGAGGAAGTCTGCCAGGAAGTCTGGCAGCTCCACAGCCCCTTACAAGCTCCAGGACCTCTAGTCCCAGTGCGTTGCCTGGCCCGCCGGCCAGCTCCGGGGTCAGCGTGGGGTCAGATCCTCCCACTCCGTAGATGGGAGGCCAAGGCCTGGGCGGAAGGGGCTGCGCCGGCTGCTGGGGCTGAGCTGGGTATTGGCGCGTGTGCGTGGCTGGGAGCCAGGCGCCCCGACGCTGAGCAGTGTCCTCCCTGTGACCTGGGTGAGGTGCGTGTGCTGCTCGGTCTGTGCAGGTAAACCCTCCCCCGAGGCCTGCACGCGGCCGCGCTAAGTAAACCCGTGCAGAGGCCGCGGGGCACTGAGGTCAGGGCTGGGGTGTCCTAGTTGCCCGCGAGTCGGGGCTGGTGACACAGGTGCCCCCAGACAGGCCTGGGCAGTGGGATCTGTGGGCCGGGCTCTGTCCTCAGGCCGCAGTCCTGGCCACAGCTTGGGGGGCCGCTCAGTGTTCAGGCAGCTCTGCTGTTTCTGCTCCTGCCAGACAGCCCCCCGGGACACCCCGCTGCCGGTGGGGTGCAGGGTACAGGCTCAGCTCAGCACGCCCGCTCCTCTGCTCGCCTCCTCCCTTCCTAGCCTGATAGGACATCACACCCATGGGGGTGTCTGGCCCCACAGGGACAGGCTGACAGGCACTGAGACGCCCCAGTGGCCACCTCCTCTCGGTGCCTGGCACGGCGTGGTCTGCTGTTGCCTGGTGTCCGCTGGGGCTGTGCCACGTGCTCTCCCAGGAGGGGCATGTTCCCGAATGAGGAATCTGTAAGGGGCCTTGGGGATGGACCGGTCCAAGCCCCGCCTGCTACGAATAGCAAGGAGGAGGCACCGAGGGGGGAGGGGACCTGCCTGAGGTCACCCAGTGCTGCCTGCAGGGGCAGGGACCCGAGTCCGACCCGGCCAGGCTGGCTGCTGTCGTCCCCTCCCCTCCCCCACCCCCAGCCTCTGGCTGGAACCAGACCCACTGGGCCCACACCTGCCTCACCGGTGGCCTTGGCGCACCAGTGTCCCAGGCAGCTAAGGCCTGTCCACCCTGGCTGCTGGGGCCCGCGGCTGCCTGCCCAGCTG